TCTGTTTAGGGGGTCGAGGGTTCAGTGTTTACGGCCGCGGTTTGAGTTTAGTCCGGGCTGACGTGCTGCAGGGTCTTGATAAGAGTTTTTCTTTTGCACGGAAGATATTATATATAGGTAGCAAGGTTGCGGAAGCCTAGTCTAGCTAGCTTTGTAGATATTTGGGGTTTTGGGCTTGAAGAGTCACTGATGAAGCTGTCCCGAAATCCAAGCACGAAGCCTCAAGCCCTAGTCCCGATCCCATCTAATCCCCTTTAATTGCCCAGCGTCTTGGCTCGCCCGTCCAATAGGATTGATTCGATAGCCCTGTAGGAAGAAGGATCAGAGGGCAGTGCGTTCGTCGCAATTACACTGAGGTATGCAGCTGAGGTTGGTTCAGCTTCTTGGCTTCTTCGAACATACCGCGAAGTGTCCTCTGGTTCCTTGTCCCCACCACAGTGAAACAAGCACACAGTCACGCAGCAGCCTAGCCTTAAGCAAGCACCAATCGTTCTTGATCCATCCGTCTCTCCCTCTCTCTCTGTCGCTATCTCTCTCCATATATCTCTCTCTCTCTCACTCTCACTCTGTGTCTGTCTCTCTCGCTCTCTCTCGCTCTCTCTCTCTGAGCTGACCTTGCTCGTCGTCTAAGTAACGGTGCTTGTGGCACAACATGTGGCTGTGGTAGGCATGCATGCAGAGCCATCGTTGCATGTGCAACTTTGTTCGCAAACATTCTGAGCATCTGGCTGCACTTGCGCTTGCTCGCACTTAAATTTTAACTTCAACCCAAAAGTGGGAACGAAAAGCAGATCCGTTAGGGCGACGCGGTAAATGGTGTCAGATGCACAAGTCACCATGACATGGGTTGCGCCGCACATGCATCGTGGCTCAAGCTGCCTCAAGTCCAAACGAGCCATTTCAATTCCGGCGCGAGAGCTCTTTGAGCGAATGCAGACTTACTTGATTATCATTGCGTGCAGCTTGGCTCATGGTGTTGCAAAGCTCGCCACTGATGTACCCGGCCAAATTTTTGAGGAAGCTTCCTCAGTCCGCGAGCTTGAAATCATTGCTGGTGTTCACGACTTCCTTACGAGTGCCACCACACTGTTCGAGATGAAGGCAGCACTCGGCCGTATCAAGGCTACACCCAAGACTAGCATGAACTTGGACGATGCCAGTCTAGCCAGAGTCCAGCAGCTGGGTACAAAGGGTATGCTTGCTGTAGCTGGTCTGCCATGGAATGTCACTTCAGGAGCCTTCTTAAGTATGCGCAAACACCTTTTCTCTCCTGCCGCTCACACAGATTCCTTGTACATTGATGCTTTCAAGGAGGGCTGTGGCAAGTTCGCGCAGCCACTTGTCAGCTGGGCGGATCATACGGCTGGCACGCACAAAGCAGGGTCGGCACTTCACAAAGCTACCCTGCATGCAGGTTTTGGTTTTGGATTTGGTTTCCAAGTTTGGTGCGGGTGCAACATGCTGCTTTCTTCAGGTGCAGGCTTTGGCCAAGGATTTAGCATCTACCCAAACCATGAGATTGACGGAGGTTTCGGAGGAGGTGGTGGCCTCGAAGCCTTTCAGAAGCAAGGCAAATCAAACAAGACGGCCTTCCATGTCGGTGGAGGAGGAGGAGGTGACTTGACAACGTGCAACACAGACGAGGACTCAGATCAAATCATTCCGAAGTTTGCAGCAAGCATGGCTGGCCTACAGAAGGGCCTAATTCTGCCACTCGTCAAGACATGCCCCAAGGGAGACCTAAGCCTCGTTGGTAGTGGCGAAGGATCGAGCAGTTTCGCGCTCAACTGGAAGACTCGGGATCCCGTGCAGTTTTCGGAAGAGTTTGAGATCACGTTCGCGTCTGCATACGCAAGCGGGAACGACCGCCGCTGTTCTGGAATCATATCCAAGAATGCAGGCGACTCAAAGAGGGAGAGCAACATCAGCATGACCGTTCAGACCGAGTGTAACAAGCAGTGTTCAGGGCAGCCTTATTCAGAATGTGGCTGCCCATGTATGAAGAAAGGCTATTTGCGTCATAACCAGAGCTGGGCGAAGAAGATCGAGTGTGGGAGCCTTGCAAATTCCATTGTCGTGTGAGCCTGACAGGCTTCTGCTAGCACTTCTGTAACCATCCCTGGAAGCCAGTCCTGAGCGCCAGTTTGACTTTGCTGTTTAGGGCCCTCCCGGTCACTGTTTGGCTTGAGACCCCTTACCCGCCTAAACCCTCAACCCTGTGCGGCGTACGGATTGGGATGATTGATGCAGCGCTCAATGACTGGTGGAAGGAGATGTCTTCCGCAGCTAGCCAGCTAGCTTCCACTCGCGGCACGAGCATCACCCGTCTGCCCGGTGAAGGTATTCCATGGAGTGTTTTGCTCCTACCCTAGTTTTGCAAAGCATAGGCATAGGGCCCCAGACTGTGAACCTCGTTGATGCTCGCTTGCCCGCTCCTTCGCCGCCTTTCTCAGTTGCCTTGAGCGTGAGAACCATCCCTGAAGGGGGATTTTCAGCTCTGAACTTGGGGTCGCCCCGATGAGCCACGCTGCAAGGAAAGGGTGCTGCGTTTAGGACTTAGTGGGTCAAGGTTTGGGGTTGAGTCTAGGGCTGAGAGGTCATGTCTTGCAGGACTTTCTGTTTAATTCAGGCTGACCTGAAACTGTAAATAAGCGGCAGGACTAAACCCCGAAACTCAGCCGAGTCCTAAGTTTGAGCCCCATTCCCTGGAGTCTAAAGGCCTGATGTCGTGTGACGCGATGAGCCGACGAACTGTGGTGGGACTTGCAGGCTTCCAGGCATGGTTAGGTGTTTCTCGAGGCTTCTCCGGTAAAATAGAGCGAAACTTGTGCAGCTGCAGGATGCGATTGAACATTCGTGATTGTTTTGACATACATCGTTGAATGCTTGTATCTTTCTTGCAGATGAAGCATTCTGCAAGCAGCTTCCTGACTTGGAATAAGGGTTTGTATCTTTTGATCTTTAACGCCTGCAAGCGTTTGTCTCATCACTTTTCGGCTTGCGTCCTCACCGGTAATTACAAAACTTTCAGCGTACTGCTACTGCTGTTAGTAAGTTGACATGACTGGAACGGAATCAGCACGTGGCACGTCCGAACATCCGCATGGGGTGACTACAGTATCTCTCGCATTGCCCATGATATGACCCAAGCAATCCCATGTAACACGTCCGTATCGCCCGTTGCCAGGGAAAGAGCAATGTGCAAGCGGGTGCAGTGCAGCAGCACTTGCCAGAACTGATCTTCTAAACAAAGACCGTATACCGAAGACTTGTTTTCTGGCGAACGTCCCGCGGCTGGCCGGATGAAGCCTGCGGTTTCGTTTCGCTGCTTGTGCGACTTCCATTGGCTTCAACTCTTGCGTGATGTGTTTTGCCGCATGGAATTATTTTTGTGGGGAACGTTGCTTGCTTACCAGCGTTGAAGGTAGCGGCGGCTCAGGCAATGACAGCAGTCTACGGCATGTTGGTATGGGCGACCGGATGTTTGAGGAATGCGGTGTAGATCCGACACAATGTACGCAGCCTTGGGGAAGCACAAACATCCTTTGCAGCCGAATACGCTGCGGCTACTCACAACTGGCCCCTGAGGGCCTTGCAGCTTGCAGGAGGCTTGGAGGGGCAACGGAGGGTCCGAGGGTAAGCTCTTGGGTCCTTTCAGACGGTTCTTGCACACAGGGCTTCCTTAGCTCTGCAGGGCCATGCAGGGCCCTGGTTTGCTGCGTTCATAACTGCAAGGGGCAGACCTCATCTGGGCTTTGGATCGAAGTGCATCCTCCTTTAGGGATGCAATGCTCATTCGGAAGCCTTGACCCTGAGGAGTTCGATCCCGGCACAGCCCTTGTAGCTAGCCTTTTGTCTGGCGGCTGAGGGGCCCGAATGTCTGCAGACGAGGCGCAAGCTCAGAGTATTGAAGGTTGAGAGCATCTCGTTATGACGAAGGGTTGGTTCGGCAACTTTTGCGGTGTCCACTGAGCCAATTCTGCCATTGATGTGCTTGAGACGGCAGGCTCCATTCGTCATATCCGCATCCCCTCGGCTTCTTTGCGCATTCATGGAATCAGAAGACAGCTGATCCCCGCTCATCAGCCCGAGGCTAACACAAGTCTGGATCTTGGAAGTCCTATGTGTGTGCGTGTGTGTGAAGTTTATGATGATGATTATGACGATGATGATGATGATGATATTCCTGTAGCTGCCGTCCAGGCATGTGCAGTTTCCGACACACAACATCGGCGCTTGATCAGGCAGCAGAGACTACCAAAGATGCTTCCATACCAGAAACGGAGGATGCAGACGAGGTCGGGTTGTTTAGGCTTTGGTGCTGTGATGTTCAGGGCGGCTCCTCAACATAGCAGCTTTCAAGACTTTGTGGCGTTGCGGCACCGTTGAACCTTTACATTTCAACTTCCAGGCAGATGACCTTTTTGCTGACTACCACCCTGGAGCAGCCGAAAAGGACGGGAGAGCTCTTGTTTTGGGGCCCATCTGAAGAGCAGGAGTGAGTTGTAGGAATCCACCGATCCGCACTAAACTGCGTGCGTGCTGGCCGGCGGGACTTGAGTCAGTCTTTTCCGGAGATGGAGGAGCTCAATCTGTAGGCTTACAAAGGGCCTCGTCTTGTCCTTTGCATCGAAGACTGGCGTCGCCGAAGTCTTCACATGAACGCAGAATTCCGAAAGCCGCAGCGTCCTTTCGTCCGAAGCCCTTGAAAGCTGCAAACCCTGCGATGCAAGACAAGTCCCATGCAGTGCGGCAAAGGTCCCGTTTGATAGGAGTTTAGGCATTACAATTTCTGAGACCAAGGCAGCAAATCGGGTGGTCGACAGTCTGTAGCCGGTTTCGGAGCCGTGCAGTCCGGCGAGGATGGAGACGACATGGAGACCTTCTTGGAGACTCAGCTCGAGAAGAGTGGAGAGGTTGGATCATTTCTTGTTGTTTTTTGCTAAAGAGCAGCTAGATCTCGAGAACAGAATCACGGAGCGTTCGTTAAGCTGTGCAGGATCTGGATCTGGAGAAGGAGCTGGAGAAGGAAATGGAGGAATTGTCGCCTGCCGCTGCAGAGGTCGGGTGCCAGTGGCCCTCGGCAAGTTTGCTTCTGTGGTAAGTTTGCTTATGTGGCGAAGTGCCAATGAAAGTGAGACCGGGCCCAGGGTGTTCAGCCAATGTCTTGACCTCGAGCTTGCAGACGAAATCAAGTGTGTTGAAGCCTAGCTTCTTCTATACTTCTCACACAACACTTCCGCTTTTTTCAACTTGCCTTCCAGCCGCACAGGGATGAGGTCTCAGGTCTCAGGCGCTGCTTATGAGGCTTTGGCTTCAGTTCAGTGGCATTTGGGGCCCTTTGTGGCCTCCAGTTTAACCATCGGGAACAGGTGGATGTGGCGGAGAGTGGGGCGGCGAAGCCTACCATGGCTCAGGTGCCGTACTGAGGAGTAGGAAGACTTGATGACAGAAGGGGAGATTTCTGATCAGCCCTTGTTGCAGCTTGGGCTGTCATGAGCCTGTGTTGGGTTTCAGAGAGGCCTCGGGTGTTTGAGGGATTTGAGGCCCTGCAGGTCCGTGGCTTCGGAGCCCTGCAATCCGGGCCAGGATGGAGACGACACGGCGACCTTGGAGACTGAGCTCGAGAAGAGGGGCGAGGTTGGAGCTGTCTTGCGGGGATTGTTTGAAGTGGGGATTGTCGCGTGCAGAAGTCCATTGGCGAGAGGAGCAAGCTTTCCAACCTGTGCAGGACCTGGGCTTAGATAAGGAGCTGGAGAAGGTAATGGAGGCAGCCATGAGGGGGCCTGACGAGGCTGGCTGCGGACTGGCAGTGTCCCGTTTCAGATGCTTGTGGCAAGCGAAGCCTTTCCGACCCAAGTTCAGCTGCCTCCTAGGCTCCGTTGTCTCAGGGGTCCGTCCCAGGAATCGGACCTGGAGAAGGAGCTCGAGAGAGTGATGGAGGAAGAGCTGAAGATGGATGAGGAGTATCCGCAACTGTTCTCCCCATCGATCTCTAAAGAGACGCTTTGGCCTGCTGCCGCTGACCTTAGACTCGAAGCACCAGGATCTGCGCACACCGTCGAAGGAGGCCAACCAAGTGTGTCATCTCACACGCTGTTTCAAAGCTTTCGGGAGAAACTTGTCTATTGCAAGCACCCAAGCTAACCCATGGAATGCCTACACGAATGCAATCCCGGCCAGGCGCGCCCAGCGGCAGAGAAAGAAAGTCCGCCGAAAGCAAGCCCGCCGAAGGCACCGAAGGACTGCACACCGTGAAGCCCTAGTGTTGCGTATTAGTTGGATGGTTCCTGGTCTTTCGGAAGCAAGCAGAGATGTGACGAGTATATGGTGTGTGACTCCCATCGAGCCAGGAGAAGGACGTAGACGAAACCCGCTCTGGGCTCGGCTTCCTTCAAAACCCAGCTGCCCTTAACGGACTGACGAAAGAGTGCAGTCTAGAGGGCGGAGCTGGCAGGCCTTTGCTCTTATCTTTCGCTGTTCGCTGCGGCCCGGGGGTGGGGGCTGGGGTCGGGCTGGAATTGCGGATGTTGAAAACACATGCTGGAGCATGGCCGAGATGCAAGTTGAGAGCTCAAGCGCCGGTTTGAGACCATCGTCGAAGCTCCCCATTGTGCTACTAGTAGCTTGGTTTGTTCGTCACCACAACACGCAGACGCAGACGACAGTTTGAGTACGTGTATGCAACAGACCTGCATCCGCGCACGCATACACATCGTCAATCGTCGGGCTCCACCGAGTGAAGAAAATGTCCGACTGATCATTAACAGATGCTGCAGCTCCTTTGATGCTTTTTTTTTTATGTTCGAAGGTCAGCTGGTACGTGTTTGTCGATGCCCAGGTTTCACGCTTGACAAGGATGGCAACAGGCTCCACAAATGGAAGGCCTGTCTTTTATGAGTCACAGCGGGGTAAGTGGGCGGCATGGAGATCGAATTAGCTGAAGCAGGTTTCTGTCCCTCTGTGAGCTTCGCTTGTTGATTCAGCATGTTCGTTCAGGCTTCAGGGTAAATGCTTCAACACAGCCGTAAAGAGTTCTATAGGCACCCTCACTCCAAGGGGATGAGGGTGTGGGGCTTGTGTCCAGGTCGACTATGCCGCACGAGCTGGGGGTGGCCGAGCAATGCTACTTGGCCTCTATGGAGCTGGTATAAGGCCACACACATCACGGAGTTGTCCCAGCCAACAGTCGGGAGCACAAACCAATTCTGTTCATGGCCCCGAGTTTGCAGTTTCGGGCTTGGGATCTAGGGCATATACGTGAAGTGCGCTTGACGAGAATCAAGGGCGGTACAGTGTGGCAAGATGGAGCCCAATGACACCCAACATGTTCTGCTTTTCGGCCGTTTCCGACTCAGGTGTCGCGACTCACAATGCCTTGAGAGATGCGAGCAGGTTCCTTGGGATGGGGGCATGTCTTGTGACATAAAGTTGCGATCACTGTTGATGGTCGTGTCGGAGAGCAACTGCACAATACCACTCTGCCGGAAGTGCAGCCCGGAAAGGCGTGGTAGCCGCAGGTCCCTTCGTATGCACTTGAGTGCTGTTTCTGCCAGGTGCTTTGACCGTCCGGAAAACCTAGGTTAACAAGACCGCAATCTCCGAAGCCCAAGCCGCAAGATTGCGTCTTTTCAAGCTCGGGCAACCTGGGACCGCAGCCGATCCGTTATAGTTCAATATACTATAATACTGATATACTATAGTATACTATAGTATACCATAATATACCATAACATACTATAATATACCATAATATACCATAATATACCATAATATACTATAATATACTATAAGAAGGACGTTAACGACTTCTTTGCGTGCTGGGTGCCGGATCGGAGGCCGGCGTGGCTGTCATCGAGAAGGGAGCCCTTCGAATCGGCCGGCGTGTCTTGAACAAGGAGGTCCAAAAGAGGGAGTAGAAGGGGTTTAGGTGCCTGGTTTTGTGCTTCGGTGGCAAGATTCGGGATACAACGATCTGAGGGTTTGGAGAAAAGAGGCGTCAAGGTGTATGAAACAAACTCGTGCATTCGAACACAAACCCTGCCTGAAGAGGGCGACATCATGATCCTCTGGCTCGGGCCCAAGCGAACCCAAGCTCTGCATGCTCTCTTGCTCAATGTGCCACTTGGAGGTTCCGCACTCCGTTTGTTCAATCTGGTTTTGTCCGTCTTTCAGTATGTGGGAAGAAGGGCCAGAGGCAAACTATCGCTTGTAGCGTTGTAGCTTGTGCAATGGCAACCGACATCAACTTTGTCGATGCAGAGATGTTGCACCCGCACGTGTGCGCTTGCGGTCTTTGGTGTCGGTCGTGATCAGGTTCTACTGGACCTGGGGTTGGTACTTGGTGATTCGGAGTTTTATTTTTCAGCTTCTGTTGGTGGTTTGGTAAGATCCGGTAGGCTTCGGGAACTGGAGCAGGGGTGATGGTTGTGGATACAACACGTTGCAGGCCGCAGCTGCTTTTCTTGGCCCATGACACGTAGTAGACGTTGTTCTGATTATGGCGATCATGAGTAGAGTAGTATACTTGCTGCCATTATCGCTATCATTCCCGGCCCGTTCCTTTATGCGCACCATCCGTTTTGGGTGGACAAAGCCAAGGCTGCAGTCAATCCCAGCGAGCAGCGCGACTCTATGTCTATGCAGCACAAAGTAAACCCAGCCCTTGACCGCAGCCCCGGTATAAAAATCCTATAAGTCCTATAATAAACCCTATAAGCCCTATTTTAATAGACCTTATAATAAACCCTATGATAAACCCCATAAACCCTATAAACCCTAAACCAGAATCTAACCTGCAAGGGTCGACCTCTCACCTTCACCCGATCTGTGCGGAATGCCGGTGTGCACCCAGATGCGTTCCCCAGCACTGTCACAGCAGGCAGGAAGTTAATCCCGGTTGCTAGTGGGATGCAGGGCTTCCGCCTTGCAAGGGAGAGCCTAAGCCAAAGCCAAGAAGAAATCAAACCTATTGTTTTTGCATTCCGATCTATCTCCGGGGCTGATTCAAAGAGATCAGTGTGGGGGCTTGATACCGAAGGGTTTCGTGTTACAGGTTTTGTGCGGGGTCCGGCTCGCTTCATCAACGAAGTCTTGAGCCTGAGGTACACCAGCCGAAAGTAACACGCAGCTCACCATTTGAATTTTTTCCTCGCCGTTGCTGGGGTAGCATATACGATACTGGATTCCACAGACAGCGACAGCACTCGAAACACGAATGGGGTTTGCGAAGCTGCAGACAGGCAAGATGGACTCGGGGGTCCATGCTGCTCAGTTTGCGTATGCGAGCCCACCGAAGAAGATCGGCTGCGGCATTCACCACAGTGCTCCGGACCTGCATTGACCAGCAATACTATCATAGTGCTCAAGGATCTCCAGGCATGCCACGGCAAAGATCTAGTGCTTGACTTGGTAGACCCAAGTTCGGGAACTCTTTTGTTTCCTTGAGCCCCGGCCGTGGAGCTGATACGGTTGATGATCTAAATCCTGCATTACCTTAAGGACCCTAGACTATGGGATTTATGGTATATTCCTTCTTATGGGTAATGCAGGGGTTTATATCATCAACAGCAGAGCCATGTTGCCGAGGTGTCAGCATCTCCAACCTGGCCTCTCCCGGCGAATACCTCTATGAGGATACCGCTCCGCTGCTCTACGGCTGGGGGCGGAACGTCTACAGCGTAGTGGGCCTGGGGGAGGAGGTCCGCTCTGCGAACGTCCCAACCCACATCCGCTGCCCAGACCTGGAGGCGCTGCTAGGTGTCTACGAAGCTGGGTTCTCGTTAAGGGATTTTATAGAAATCTAAGTTACCATAATAGGGATCTATAGTATAAATAATATTGTTTCCTTGTTATGGTAACTTAAATCCCCTAACAAGAACCCAGGAAGTCGCCTGCGGCCACAGCCACACCCTCTTTCTGCGGAAGACCCATGGCCTCGGGCCGGGGGGGGATGTCTACGGCTGCGGCCTGGGAAACCGAGGGCGCCAAGGCTACCGAAACCCGGATGCAGACGACGACGATACCCCCGAGGTGGAAGACATCTGGTACGTTCCGACCCCCAAGCCCATTCCGATCAAAAAGGGAGTCGCGGTAGTGCGCATTGTTTGCGGTTCGGATCACAGCATGGTGCTGGACATGCATGGCCTGATCTACGCGTGCCTTGCCCACATTATGAGCCCTCCATTTTCGGTTTCTTGTGGAAGGGAAAAATTAAAAGGCTCTTGCTAGGTGCTCTGTACCTCTACGAAAGCTCCCGGTTCCCTTTTGCCCGAGCCCAAATGCGAAGGTGGGGCCAGAATGGCAGCGGCCAGTGCGGAGTTGGACGCGTGGGTGATGTTTTGTCTGCAGAGCCGGTGGTGATGCCAAGCATCAAGGGAGGGCAGGCAACTAACCCTAAACCCTAAACCACTGAGTTGATTCCGCCGACCTTAACTGCTAGGGGGAAAACGGTGCTTAAAAAAAAAACCTAAACCCTAAACCCCTAAACCCCTAAACCCTAAACCTTGGAGATCTCGCAGGTTGAGGGTTTCTGGGAGTTCTGTTTGCAAGTTTGTCGCTTTCTCCCTGTGAGGTGTTGGTTGCTCACATGGCCGCCGGCAGCCAGCATTCGATGTTCGTCAGTGCAAAGGAGCGCCTGAAATATCCGCGACGCAGCCCCCGCAATTCGACACCCATTGCCTTGAACCTTTCACTGCTTGCCTGGTGCACTGAATCCTTCACATCTGCAGGATAGCAAGATGGGGAGTACTTCAGGCAATGGGGGCCTTGTGCTTGGCTGCAGCCAAGCCCTCAGTCCTGCTTGTCTGGCTCTGCTCTCGGTTTGACAGGTGGGAAGGTCTACGTGTGGGGCTGCAATGCCGAAGGCCAGACGTGAGCAGATCCCCACGTCCCAAAACTCCCTCTCTGACCAGCTTGCGATTGAACCCACCATCTGAGCCAAAGAACGTCTTTGTGGGGATGTATGCTGGCCGTCCCTGCAAAGCTTGTGCATGCTTGCGCTGTACAAAAGCTAAACACTGATGAGCTCGGCTTCAGGGCGACTCGGGCTCGGCCACGACGAGGACCAGCTCGTGCCAGTGGTTGCGCCTAGGGCAGCACTTGGCAGCGGATTGAACCCGGCCTCGAGGTTACCACATTACTCAGTCTACATCATTGAAAAATGGCATCAAAAAAGGGAAAAACCCTAAACCCTAAACTAGGCATGGCCTGTCTCTCTCTCTCGAGGTTGATGCTCTGCAGACGACGAAGGTCGCCCTCTCAGCAGCCGGAGAAGCACACACCGGCGTGGTGGACATGAACGGATCCTTGGCGCTGCCCATGGGTTGGCTTTTGAGATCTCTAAAAAACGTATTCAAGTCGGGTGTTGGGACCGAGATTTTATCCACGGGACCCCCAGACTAGACCCTGGGACTCCGCTTCCGTCCTTCAGTTTTTGGAATGATCCGAAGGCTCCAAGGCGGCCATCGGGGTTTGCTCCTCTTCGTCATGTTTCAGACCTGGATCGGACATGAGGTGAAGGGATCCCCTGAACGTTGTGCGCATACCTCCCAGGCCCCAACTTGAGCCTGAAAGTGTGTAGCCCTAAACCCAAGCCCTCCAAACCCTCTAAACCCTAAGCCCTCTAAGCCCTCTAAACCCTCTAAAGCCCTAAACCGTGGGTGCCCCATTCCGGTGACCCCGAGGTTGCCTCTGGATGTGGGGCCTCGGTTCCTACGGCCGCCTGGGACTGGGAGAGCCCATTGATGTGCCGCTGCCTCGGAGGACCCAAGATTCCTAAACCCAAAGCCCTAAACCCTGGATCCTAAAAACTAAACCCTAAGTCCTAAACCCCTATTTCGGGTTCTGCAGAAGTTCCAGATTTCGACTACTCACTCCATTTCTGTGGTTACTGGCATCGCGTTGGAGCCAAAAACTCGCGCCAGGATACCGATTCCAGAAGAGCTCCCGGCGACTCGGCTCTGCGATGCTGGGCCAGGGAAGTTGCTTTTCTTGTCTTCGTCCCTCCGAATGAAGTAAGCTGCCAACCGTGTCGCCGAAGTCCAAAATGGAAGGTCGAAAGATGCGATGGTCCGCAAGCAGTGTATAGGCCAGTATAGCCCTACAGCAACTTCTAAGCACTTCGGGCTCAGAGGTCTTGACGAGGGGTAGCTCTTTCTTTCCATCTGTTTGGCGTCTGCGACAGGCTCCCACAGGGGATCCCCTTCGTTTGGACCTCACCTAAATATCGCTCAGGTCATGCAGCTGGCTCTTGGCAGTTTCCACAGTGTGGCCTTGGTGGGTACCGGTCGAAGCCAAGCTCTCTACACCTGGGGCCCCGTGGTTGAACCGGCCCGATTCTGGGTTTAGGGTTTAGGGTTTGGGAAATCGCTCGGCCCTTGACTTCTGCACTGAGACAAAGCTTTGCCGGAACCATGTCGCTCTCCCATGACCCAAGTTAGGGCGAAAAAGGTACTTCGCCTTTTCGGCTTCGGATTGCCGGGTCATGAAGGAGGTCTTCATAAGCAGGAACACCTTATTAATGGGGAACGTCCACCCTTTTCGTGATGTGGAGAGTACCTCCCTCTCCAACCCTTCGCATGAGGGCCGAACATGAGTCCAGCCAAGGCTACGGCGAAGCTCTTGGCAACAAGGCAGGTTGTGGGTCTGCAACAAACAACTGCTTTGCAGCTTCGGGCATTCTTCCTGCTTTGGGTCTGGCCGTTTTGAGCTTGGTGAAATTTGACTGGAGCCCCCAGTTAAGTATCACAAGTATGCAAACTTCTGCTGCTACTTGACCAACGACGTATCCCAGCCGTCTTTTGTCAATTGAGTGCTGCCGGAAAACGTCGCAAGCTTGTCTCAACTTCGATGTTGAAGGTGCAAAGCCAGCTAGCAAGCACAGATAGCAACTGGAGCCCTCTAGAACTCAGTCCGAAGTGCACAGGTGGGCGGCGGTGTGTCCCCAACTCCGCTGGTCGTGGGACTGGAAGAACACAGCCGCCAGCTCAGAGCTTGGGGGGCAAAGACTTCGTCTGGAGCCTCAAACTTCAAGCTACAACGCTGAAGCCCGAAGACCGACAGAGCCTCTGAAACAGAGGATTTGGGCTGCCCCTGTGCTCTCAACTCCTGGGCCCAGTCCCGGCCGAGGTAGGGCACAGGTCTTGCAGATTGCTGCTGGGCCCTACCACACCCTGGATGCTGGGACTTAAAGATGCCGATGACCAGTTGAGTCAGTATAGACAGATCGATAGATACTTACACAAATATTTACAGGCATGCACATACATACATACATACATACATACATGCATACATACATACATACATACATACATACATACATACATAAGTAGACACATAGACAACAGATACATGCATGCACCCAGCCTCCTATTGTAATGAGTAGAGTCACCCACCGTGCAAACCTTTGAAGCAACCTGCGGTCGCTACCCACGTTCGGCTGCTGGAACAGCCAGAGCAGCAGCAGGTTTTTGTGACCCACAACGACCAAGAGAAGCCCTGTATAGCAGTGCAATGTGCTGTGCTATGTTGCAGGTTGATAGTACTGCACACACGAACAGAGTCAGTCTCCCTCTGGGGCAAAGTTTTTTTGCACCCAGGGATCAAGTGTGTAAGAGAGATTCAGTCGGTAGGAGAGGAACACTTTGCTCAGATACTTGGTTAATGTGGCTAGCTGAGAAGCAGGTACTACGAGGCGGTCATCTGTTGGATTGCTAAGTCGGAACCAAAACAGTGTCGCACATGTCGCGTGCAGCTCCAACTGCAACATGCCACGGCATAAGCTTTGGCCCGCCTCAGCATCACGATATCACGAGAGACCATCCTAGAGTAGCTCAGGTCCTCATGGAGGATGGGGAGCTCATCTCCTTTGGTCAGGGCTCCTCCGGTCGGTTGGGCACAGGCGCCAAGCGAAGAGTTCACGGCAAGCCAGCACTTGACGAAGACAACAGCATTCCTGCAGCAGCAGCTCTGGCTGTTCGTGCGGTTGCAGTGTGGTGATTCGTGGAGGGTTGTCTGTATGCCCCAGTGAAGAGCTACTCGCAGGCGAACCTGCTTCTAAAGCTTTGCAAACTCCCTTCACGCGCAGTCATGCTTGCGGACTCTTCTGTTTTGCGGGTCGAGGGGAGATATAAGTCCAAAAACCGAACAGCAGCGATAACTGCACCCAACCCGAAGCCTTCCCAATCTTCGCAGGGGCTTCCAAGAACCACAAGTTGCCCGTGAAGCTTCCGGGGGCGCATGGATTTGCTACGAAACTGCGGAACACAGACAGGTCGGGTCCGCAAAGAGCTTGGGGTTACCGTTTCCGTTGTCAGTATCGTGTTGATGACTGTTAGTACTATGCCAAAACCCTAAGCCCTCGAAACCCATAAACGGCGTTCAACCAAAAAGCAAAAGACCCCAACCCTAAACCCAACCGGAGAGCCCCAAACCCCAGGACCTACAGTAGTATCAAGGGAGGACATTTCATCGCAGGTCAGCGGAGAAAGCTTCTCAGCCTCGCTCACCGAGCAATGCACAGAAGAGGACCTTCCTCGCCTGTAAGAAGCCGTGGCGTAATGACCGAAAGTATAAGTCGAGCAGTTATAACAAGTTCTAAACAAGACTACTAACAGGAATGGTAATATTCCT